CCGAGGCCCGGGGGTTGGGGACCGCTGCTCTAAGGAGTACAACATCGTCACTTTTGTGTGGATCATGAATAAAAGTCACACCAGTTACATACAGTGTTATCAAGCAAGTGTTTATGATTATTTTCATTTCTCTTTAACTCAGTGAATGAATGTGGATTTAACCTTGAAGCAGGTTCAATCATCCAGCATTCAGCCTTCTGGGACTGAAGAAGTCACCCTAACACTTCCATTAATAACATCCAGATGAACACAGTCAGCTGTCTGTGGTTGCAGACATCATGTGAAGATAATTCTGCTGTTACTGAAACTAGACACCTTAAATATTTCACAGAGTAGTTCCACTACAGGAGGGATGGTGCAGCTAAACGTGTGTTCAGATCTTTATGTGACACTACGACACACATCACTTTCTTTCTTACAGTGTAAACTTCTTGTCAATCTTTTTACATCATTTCTTCAACATTAACTGCACTGTTACACTCACCTCTGACTCTGAGAGTCACGACTTTCTGTACCAGGATGCGTCCATCCTTGTTGCAGACCGTGCAGGTGTAGCTATGACTGTCAGTGGGGAGGGGCTTATTCAGGGTCAGACTGAGGTCTCCAGTGATCAGTGGATCTTCATTCATCTCTGTGCGACCTCTGTAAGACCCGTACTGTAAACCTGGCTGGTTTTTTTTATTCACATCAAAGTAATGGACCATCTTCGCTGTGGATTCAAAGACAGTCCAGTACACGCTGAAAACATGATGAAGGTCAGCTGTGGTTTTAAAGGGCAGCAGGACAGACTCCCCCCCCTCTGTCACCTCCACCATCTCCACCTGGAAGTCTGAGAGCAGAACATGAACACAGACAGACATGAGTGAGGTTGATGGTCCATCATGTCCTCTGCTGTGTAACCAGCAGCGTTCAGTGTTTCAGTCACGGTTCGTACACCTTTTTCAGGGTCAAATTCAAGCACCTTCTAAGCACTTTCAAGGTCCATTTTCAAGTTTTTTCAGCGCATTTCCTAAAATCTACTTATTTAATCTATCATCAGTGACATTATTTGGTACAGTTATAATGTATTGTTCATCTCCCTTAAATAAACAGGCAGCCTTAATGTATGAAATATCCATATACTGTGTCCGTGGCTGATGGTGCCCCACAGGCCTCAGTGTGAGCTTGAAGACATTTATGATGTGTAAGCAGTTTAATGTGTCGGTGCTGACCAGACACAGCTTCTGAATGAAAGTCTTCGGTAGAACAAACACACGTGACTATCTTTGTGCCCATATGGATCCCTCATATCACCATTATGCCACCCAGCACAGGGACGAACCCTGCAGGTATGACAGCAGCAGGTGTATCACTTTCCACCTGGAGACAGCGTTTACACTGCAATCTGCCTCTGGTGGCTATGGTGCAGCAACTGTGACATTCACTAGTAGAACTGACACACAAAACAACGACAACACCACACACTAACTACACAAGACAACACACTAACTTGACTGCAAACACGGTACACGTCACAAACCTCTCACCTGTGAAAACTCCCTTCCTCCCTTCCTCCCTTTCTTTCTTTCACTTGCTCACTCCTACAACTTCCCCTTTTTCCTAAACAACCGAATGTCACGTTTCCATATTTTTGATTGTTTGACACAAACAGGTGTTTTTTCCTTTTTTGCTCACAAGCAGAGTGTTTGCTAGCGCTGTCCTTCTTCTCTCCCCGTAGTAAAGGCCTCTGTTTTATTTAGGAAAAATAAATCACGTGTACTTTTGATCATGACTCTGGTTTTACGTGAACTATCAACACAATTTAAAAACTGGTGTATAGTTTGAAGTCAGTGCTTTGGACCAAAGTTGAAATGGAGACTCTGGGTCTGTCACAATGCTACGTATCAGGCTAATGTTTAAAGCTTTCACTTGAGTAAAGGAACTCATATTACTAAGTAATGTTAGCTAAGTTCACAGCATGCTCCATAAATCTCCATGCCATAACTAACCGCTATAATAGCTGCCATATTGCATCACACTCAGTGCATTTCAATCACACAAACAGCTGTGCAGCTTTTATTCTCACACAGCTGCAAACAGCTGGACACTTGCAGTTTACACAGCTGGGATTCACGGTGTGGACAAACAGCTGATACACTCACCTCTGACACCAAATATCACTGATTGCCTTAGCAGGATGTCTCCATCCTTGTTGTAGGCGGTGCAGGTGTAGATTCCACTGTCAGTGAGGTGGAGGTCTTCCAGGTTCAGACTGAGGTCTTTCTCATTTCCCTGATGGCGTGTTATTTCCTTTATGAACTTGTATTTGGGGTGTATACGTTTCCACTCCACTTTGGAAATCTGATCAAGTTTATCTGTTTTTTGAAATTCTAGCAAATAAGACTTGTTTCCATACACTGTCCCCAAACTCCTCACAGTGTCTGAAAAGAGAAAAGAGACAGACAGACACCAGTGAGAGTCCACTCCAGAGTGACAAACTGGACCAAGGTCAGCTTTGGTCTTAAAGGCAGCAGCACAGACTCCTCCCCCTGTGGCACGTCCACCATGTGAGGCAGACTCTAAAAAGAGATCAGACAGATGTGAGTGGGTGATCATGGCCTCTGCACAAACAGCTGTGCAGCTTTTATTCTCACACAGCTGGACACACTCACAGCTGACTGTTTCCATCAAACAGAGAACACAGAGATGATCCTTTGTGTAAAGTGTGATGAGCAGGGATGGTGCTGGAGTAATATTTAGAGTATTTATAAGCTCTGATGTTATCGGTGAAACTAAGCAGCTGTAAGTGGCCGTTGCCACTAGTTACAGACGGGAACATGATGGATGTGTGAAACACTGAGTGAAGCTTCGTCACAGACTCACAGCTGTGAGTGTGTCAGCTATGCTGGCAGCCTGGAGTCACCTGAAGCTTCACTGTGGGCTGATGCTGACTGTCACTGTTATATGTGTGTTATTAACCTCAGAGAAACCAACTGCTGTTCAGAAGACTTCAGATGTGATCAGAGGTTTGGAGGCTGGACTTGCAGCACAGGAAGTGATGTCAGAACAAAAAAAGACTTTAGTCCTGAGTGAGCGACAGGTTTATCGGACGCTGACGTGGATCTCCTTCAGACCTGGATCACAGTCTCCACACTGAACCCTTTAAACATCATGTTTGTGTTTCTCCATCATCAGGAAGTCTGTATTTATCCCAACATCGTTATTTACTAACCTTTCACTCGTTTTAATTTTAAAACTGTGTGTATTTGTTAGCTCACTCTTACTGCCTGTTCATGCCCTGTCCTTGTCTTCAACGTCATCCTGCTCTGTTGTAGGGGATAAATAAAGTCTTTCTGATTCTGCTGCACTAGCTGTCAGCTTTGATTTACCAGAACAAAGTCTTAATTATTATTTTAAACAATGTTAGTTTATGATCAAATATATATAGAAGATGAAGCACTCTGTTCCTTATTTACCAAAAAGTCTCATTAAAGAAGTCGACCAATCAGCAGAGCCCTGAGGAGTAGCTGTGCCAGCAAATATATTCATCTGTACTGATCAGTGAGTGTCAGCAGCTTCTTATTAACAGCTCAGAGTGATGATGATGATGATAGAGAGCTCAGTGAAGAACATACCCAGCTTATGTTAGATAGAAAACACAAAATACCTCATTACACT